AGAAATCAAATAAACTAATTCTGTGGGATTAGGTAATGGAGCAGCTCAATATCATCAGTCTAAACAAGGCCAGGAGCTGACTGTGGAACAGACAATCAATGCTCATATGCAAATTCTAGTTGAAGGTGAAGAAAATCAAAACAAGTCCACGAGAGCCAAAATATGACTTGGATTATTGTTTTGGTTACTTCTGTGGTGCTCTAATAGAAATACCACAAATGGGATGGGTTTAAAAAACAGTTTATTCTCTTACAATTTTGGAGGTTGAAAGTCCAAATTCCAGGTCCCAGGCTGGGTGAAAGCCCCTTGACCTTGGGTTTCAGCTCTGCCTCTTCCTCCCGGACCTCTGAAGCTAGAAGCATCTTCTCACTCAGGCAGCTGTTAGCTGCTGACGCTCACAAATCCAAGGTCGACAAGTGAAAAGGCACAGTCCCAATATTACCAAACCACATGGCAGGCCATTAATTCAAGTGCATTAAAAGTCCCAAGACAGGCAGGGTAACATGGCAGGCTGCTGAACAACGACTCAGCTACATGCAAGGTTCAGGCATGCCATCAGCTAGAGACCTGTCCCAAAGTTGCTTCTAATATACTGGAAGTGGACCACATGCCTAAAGCAACTACTCAGCTGCTCCAACAGATTCCGCCATGGAGTTAATTAACAATCTCACCATCGGGAATAACTACATCCAGCAGCCCAGCCATTCAACCAGGCCCAGCCAAGTTGATATACACCCTTAATTACCACAATTATATCCCACCTGAACTTAGAGAACACCTGAGTAATAGATTTGACACATTGAACACAAACTACTGAAAATGAGATGAGTTGTAGGATGACATCAAGAGCATCATACATGAAGAAAGCAAAAGGTCATTAAAAGGACAAGAAAGGAAGAAAAGACCAAGGTGGATGTCAGAAGAGACTCTGAAGCTTGCTCTGGAACACACAGTAGCTAAAGTGAATGCAAGAAGCGATGAAGGAAAGGAGCTGAACAGAAGATTTCAGAGGGCAGCTTGAGAAGACAAAGTAAATTATTATAATGTAATGTGCAAAGACCTGGAGTTAGAAAACCAAAAGGGAAGAACATACTTAGCATTTCTCAAACTGAAAGAACTGAAGCAAAAATTCAAGCCTTGAGTTGCAATATTGAAGGATTTACAGGCAAAATATCAAATCATGCAGAAAGCATCAAAAGATAGAAGGAATACACAGAGTCAATGTACCAAAAAGATCATTTGCCAGGAGGTGGAATATGATCAAGAACCACCGGTACTGAAGGAAAAAGTTAAAGCAGCACTGAAGTCATTGACAAAAGGATCCAGGAACTGATGGAATACAAACTGAGACATTTCAAGTAATGAATGCAGCACTGAAGGTGCTCATTCATTTATGCCAAGAAATTTGGAAAAGAGCTACTTGGCCAACTGACCGAAAGATATGCATTTCTGTGTCCATTCCAAAGAAAGGTGATCCAACAGAACGTGGAAATTACTGAACAGTATCATTAATACCAAGTAAAATTTTGCTGAAGATAATTCAAAAGTGGTTGCAGCAGTATATTGACAGGGAACTGCCAAAAAGTTTAAGAGGAGGACATAGAATGAGGGATATCATTTCAGATGGCAGATGAATCTTGGATGAAAGCAAAGAATATCAGAAAGATGTTTACCTGTATTTTATTGACTATGTAAAGGCATTTGATTGTGTGGAATATAACAAATTGTGGATAACAATGCAGACAATGGGAATTCCAGAACACTTAATTGTGCTCATGAGGAACCTGTACATAAACCAAAAGAAGTGTTTTAATAGAACAAGGGAATACTACATGGGTTAAGGGAGCTCTGGTAGCATAGTGGCTAAGACACTTGCCTGCTAACCAGACGGCTGGCGGTTCAAACCCACCAGCCACTCCTCGGAAGGAAGGTTGGGCAATCCTACTTCCGTAGTGATACTGCCTCGGAAACCCAAGGGGGGGTCGCTATGAGTCGGGCCGGACTCGACGGCACATAACAACACAACAACAACATGGGTTAAAATCAGGAAACATGTGGGTCAGAGTTGTATCCTTTCACTATACTCAATCAATCTATATGCTGAACAAATCCAAGAAGCTGGACTGTAAGTAGAAGACCACAGTATCAGGATTGGAGGAAGACTCATTAACAACCTGCAATATGCAGATGATACAACTTTGCTTGCTGAAAGTGAAGATGGCTTGAAGAAGAAAAAAAAAAGAAAGTGAAGATTACTGATGAAGATCAAAGAATACAGCCTTCAGTATGAATTACACTTCAACATAAAGGAAACAAAAATCTTTACAACTGAACCAACGAGCAATGTCATGAATATAGACACAAAAATTCTCAACAAAATTCTAGCCAACAGAATTCAACAGAGTATCAAAAAAAAAAAAAAGCACAATGATCAAGTGGGATTCACATTAGGGATGCAAGGATTACTCAACATTACTAAATCAAACAACACAATTCATCATATAAATAAAAGCAAAGAATCACATGATCATCTCAATCAACATAAATAAAAAAGCCATTTGATAAAACTCAATACTCTCTCCTGAAAAACATTCTAAGCAAATTAGGAATAGAAGAGAAATTCTTTAACATAATTAAGGACATAGAATCAAAACCAATAGCCAGCTGAAATGATGTAAGTTATTTCAAAATAATCCAGAGGCTATGTAAATATATAACAATATTGATAATGGATAATTCCAGGTGATGTACACATGCAGGTTCATTATTCACTTTCACTTTTTTCCATAAAATTAAGTTTGAGAGGCCTACACTTCACGTGGATATGTTATGTAGATAGCTAGACATATGAAATAGAGCTCAGTGAAATCAGGGATTAAGAAAGTTGTAATTTGTCAGTATATGTAAGGCCATGGGACACAGCATGAGAACATCTATGAATACAAATAGAAAATTGATCGAATACTGAGCAACGGAACTCTCCAGCATTTAGAGATGAAGAAGACTCAAGAGCGTTTCTACCAGGATTTTAGCCATCCATATGAAAAGTCACTGAAAAATGCATAGCTCTGATGTTCACTTCTAGGAATCTATACTTAGAAACTAATTAGGACTAGTGTATATAAAGATGTTTTACAGTGCTCAGTAGAAAAAGAGAAAAAATGGTGAGTGGGTATCATGATGAAATAGCCTAAAAGTGGAATAGGAGCTCTGATAGCATAGTGGCTAAAGCACTTGACTGCTAACCAGAAGGCTGGCGGTTCAATCCCACCAGCCACTCCTCGGAAGCTTCAAAGGTTGGGCAAACCTACTTCCGTAGTGATACTGCCTCGGAAACCCAAGGAGGGGTTGCTATGAGTTGGGGCCCACTCGACGGCACACAACAACAACAACAACAAATACATTTCAGGATGTCTGATGGAATATTGTGTAAAAATGTAAAATGATCTAGGTATATTTTAGTGATCTGTAAATATGTTCACAATTCATTAAATAAAAAAAAGATTAAATACAGCATTGTAGTTTATTTTGTAATGATTTATTACTGTGAATATGTATTTTGTACCTTCCTTACCACTTGTATCCTAAAATATTAAATTTTATCATCTTTGGTTATAAAATTATGGGCTTTTTACCCACTACATTTATCTGTATTTTGTAATTTTTCTCAATAGATAATAAAAATACACCAGCACCAACTGCCATGGAGTTGACCCTAACCAACAGCGGCCCCCTATGTGTCAGAGAAGAAATGTGCTCTGCAGGGTTTCCAATGGCTGCTTTTTTGTAAGTAGATGGCAAGGCCTTTCTTCTGAGGTGCCGCAACCAGAAACTCTAATAAAAATATACCTGTCTACAATTTTTAACAAAGGTCACTCAGCACTATGACTTAAAATGACATTTAAGGAAGAATCTAATTTAAACCAGTCAAAAATTACATCAATCAAAACCATCTGACTAAAATTACATAACTTATGAGGAGCTCAGATAGCGTAGTGCCTAAGGCACTTGACTGCTAACCAGTCGGCTGGCAGTCCAAACCCACCAGCCACTCCTCGGAAGGAAGGTTGGGCGATCGACTTCCGTAGTGATAACCACCTCGGAAAACCTAAGGAGGGGTCGCTATGAGTTGGATCTGACTCCATGGCACACAACAACAACTAGAACATGAGTTGTTTTAAAATAAAGTAATCATAGAAAATTATTTTAATATGATATCAAATGTTTTATTAATAAATATAATAAAATCACATATGTTTGTTCCATTGTTCAGGTAAAATTCCTAATTACTTATAATCTATATACAGTACCAGAGGTACAAAATTCCAGGAAGTATTTGAATGCTTTCATGAAAACATATATTTAACATTTATAGGCTTATATAAATTCAAAAATAATATATTCTATACACACTGACTTTAAATAACCTAAGGACAAATCATTCAAAAAAAATCAAAGGACTTTAATAACAACATGAATGCCATTTCATTGTCTGTTCACTAGCTTTATCTAGTAAACACACTCTTCATGAGTACTATTTAGACCAGACTACACGTTCACATAAAGATTACTTTAAGATATGTTCTACTTTATAATAATATTAAGTAATGGCCAGGTACTTTTAAAATTGTTTTTTGCTTTTAATCAAACTGATTCAATTTTAAGTTTTTAAGAGTATTAGGTCTCATTCAACTTTCCCTAACTTAGCTAATATCATTAATAAAGATGTATTAATGCACTTGACATTCACTTTAGAAAACAAATATTTTGTATTTTTTTAAAAATAGCTTTTCATGTTTAAAAGAGGAATTTTGGCCTTCAAGTTAAAAGCAGTATTTTCAAAAGCACAATTTTAACAATTCCACCTTTTTATTATTGCAATGTTTTCATTAGGTAAAAAGTACTATTAAAATTTTAATTTAACATCAGAAAATCCTATATAGAAGGTAGATACTTTTAAACTCTGAAACTTTCTAAATGCATTTCTGGATCAAATGTCTATAGGTACATTATATAAAGGCCTCTTCCTGATGCTGTTTAATTATTTCATTGTGGTTATAAAAATGTTACACTGCTAAAAAGGTATTTTCTTCCTTGCCTTTATGCCCCTCACTGTCTTTACAATCTTAAAATTGGTTTCCTATATCTAATAATGCTGTCTAACTATAATATAAATAGAAAACAAAATATGGAATACTATATTATGATTACTTCCTACTGCAGTCTGTCAACTAATAGAGGCTTTTCCTCACTAGGAAAGCTTGCTTTAAATCAAATATTGATTTTCCTCCTGTAATTCACACCTGTCTACTGAATCAGTTACCCAAGTTGCTTGTACGATTTTAAACTTTCTTTTAAGAGTTCTCCGAAAAGCTTTTAAATCAGCAACACGACTATGATCCTCCCCAACGATTACATGAGATACTCCCTCAGCCAAATACGAAACTACTTTTGCTCCATAAAATCGAAGCTCCAAGGCTTTAGCACCTAATCTTGTACCCTCAATTTTGGTGCTCAAGTCATTAATAACAGCATACAGGTCCAAATAAATTGTGTGGTGTCGAAACATACTGAGAGGACAGCTGTCCCAGGAGTATCGATCTTCTAAATCAGCAATCACAGAAGCCATTTCTTCAGAAGTCTGTTCATTAGACTGTTTAATTACTGAGAATACTTCCTTTAGTTGGTTCAAATCTGTATCAACAAAATAACTATCACCATAGCAATCATATTCAAGAGCAAAATGCTGTTTTGTTGATGGAGACATATGAATCATAAAGCGAGGCTGCCATGGCACACAGCTTTTGGTCTTAAAACACTCTAAAAGCCAGTCAGGCTTCACAACATCATGCTTATTTGAAGAAATTATGTTTTTCACTCTGATGTTCTCAGACCCTGCAATCACACAGGCCGTGTCTGGGCCTGGATTTTGTACTATGTAACCACCAAATTCAGCAATTCTGTTCTCCAGATCAGGTTTAGAATGGTTGTCTATTCCACTCATGACACAAAATTCCATATCTTCAAATATATTAGAAACTTTGTTTATGTTAGAAAGATTAGGTGCTTTAAAATGTTCAATAATTCCAATAACTTTCTTAGTCTTTGGCACAGCAGCTTTCCGCTTTTTTTCTTGTGGTTCATCATCACCATCTACATACAGGTGTCTAGATGCAAGCTTTCCAGATGCTTTCCCCCTAAGTTGCTCCAACTCATCCAGAGTCATGCATTCATGCCATTCTTTGTCTTCTCTTATCTTTTCAATTCGTGGAAAACGCAAGGTGCAATCAGTTTTATACATATCACTGGGGACAATCTCTGCTGCCTTAATCTGAACGATGACAGAATTACAAGGTTCAATGTACACTTCTGGCTTCTCTGTTCCACACAAAATACTACTTGGCGGAACTTTTCTATGAAAAGGTTTCCAATGTTTGGCCAATTTCAAACCCAGGTCATATAGTTCTTTCATAGTGTAACCTGAGCCAACACGACAGAGTGTGTAAAACACAGATGGTTTTTCACCAGGAGGGGGCTTCTCTGCCACAGCACACAAAAAATGAGACATCATTCCACCCCGTGAACCTTTGCCCCAATAGCCTCCAACAATTAAGATGTCTAGTTCATCCATTAGACCACTTACATACTCTGGCTTAATTTTTAGCCATCCTTCACCTCTTTTATCTGGCTTGTAAATGGACAAAGGGTATTTTACCATGATCCCCTCTTCTCTTTTATCTATTGCATCATTCAAAGCATCAATTACTTCTTTCTTAGTATGAGCTTGTGCTTTCTGTACTATTTCTATTCTACCTGGTATCGGTGTAAAAACACTACCCAAAATTTCATATCTCTTTCTCAGGGTCTCATGTCCTAACTTTTTATCATTAACCATCAATACATCAAAAACACAGTAACAAGTTTGTAGATCAGAATCTTCTACCATTCTTTTAATATCAAACTTAACTCCCTTTTGCATAAAACTTTGGGTATTAGGATTATAGGCCATCATCTCACCATCAAGGATACAGTTTTGTATATTTGTTTTGAAAGCACCATGAATGAATGGTGTTAAAGAACCTTTTTGTGGAGAATCACCAAACTGATCAGTATAGTCATAACCATTTCGGGAGAAGAATTTATATACATCCCCATCTCTGTGCATTTGCATACGCTCACCATCTAGCTTGGTTTCGATGTAGAAACTCTGGTGTTTCATGTCCTTCTCAATGTGCTGAATATCCGCTATAGTAGCTAGCATTGGTTTAAAGGCAGAAAATAAAGTGATAGAAATATCACTGAGTCCAACTGAAGGATCATGCAGTTGCCTACAGACTTTTTCCAGATCTGTGGTGACATTATGCAACTCAACGGCATCATTATGAAAAACAGAAAATATAGTTTGCTGACTAACACCGAGCTTTAAGTCCTTTATAATCATCCGTATGAACCATTTCTGTTCAAGTGCTGAACTCTGAGATATAAACTGAAGAAGACTCTTCTTTACTAGGTTCTTTCTTTTGGCAGAATTATTGCTGGCAACTGAGTCTAAAATGTCATTCACTTGCTGTATGGTTAAATTTCCTTTCTGTAAACATCTTGGCTTCAACACAAAGTATGCGATCATTGCAAAGTCTCCAGTATCTCCATGAGTTCCAGTAGGTGTTCTGTAATTTAAAAGTTTAAGGGCATCTTTTCCTTCTCTAGGCAAGTTAAGCAGTTCAATATAAAGCTTAGCAAGCATAGTTTCTTTGATTCCATAGGCCATTCTTTCTCTTTCCAGTTGAGGAAGAATGAGTCTCATTGCTGGATAAAAAGAGTCTGTGACATCTTTTTGGTTTTTATGAAGAGCATCATGAAATTTTCTCCAAGAATCTAAAAATTCCTGGAAATGTCTGATTTTTTCTGCACGCCCTTTGCTTTTCTGTATTCGTTCTAAAGTTGAACATAAGTCTGCAAAAGGAACATGTGATGCAACAGTTCTTGAAGATTGTGAGGCAGCCACAGAAGCCATGGTGAATCCTCTGGTTTACCTAATAAAGGAAAAGAGAACAATTTTAAGATTTTTACTAAAATTGAAACCAAATATTTCATATAAGATCTTAATGAACAGTACTTGGTTCATAATAGGTATTGTTTGTTAAGTAAAAATAAATCAATATTGATTAATATTAAATATAATTAACTATTTTATTTCAATTCTAATTAGTAATTATTATCAAAAGTATCACCAGCCTCATTTCCTATATTCACAATCTGGAAATTAATCATTTTAATTACCTTTCTCCCTGAATCCCAACTTCCATTGAATTAATTATTCCATTGCTTAATTACCTAGTACCAAATCCATTCCGACTCACAGCGACCCCCACTGGCTTTCCAAGGTGTTAAATCTTTACGGTAGTACATTGCCCCATCTTCCTTATGAGGAGAGCAGCTGGTGGATTTGAACCACCAGCCTTCTGGTTAGCATTAAATTGCCTTAGGCACTGTACCACCGAGCTCCTTAATAATGATCATTGTTGTTGTTGTTGTTATTTGCCATCGAGTCAGCCCCGACTCATAGCGACCCCTCCTTGGGTTTCCGAGGCAGTAGAAAAACAAAATATGTTTTGTTGACTTCATTTCTGGGCCTCAGGCAAGGTTTTTCCTTGCCTATATGTATCTTATTTTTCTGTCAGTCTAACCCACAGCACCAGAAATAAACTCTTTAAAATGAACTTTTTTTTTTTTTTTTTTTGTAAATCAAATCATTGTCTCATTCACTCAATTTAAATTTGGCTTCATAGGAAGCCTGAACTTCTCAGCAGAGGGTCCTCCATCAAAAGTGAAAAAAAAAAAGATATTCTTTTTTGGTCACTTTTTAGGAAAAACTCTATTCCAGCCAGCCAAAGACTTTTCCACTTTCCAGTCTTTACTGATAACTAGGCTGAACACCTCACATTCAAAATCCAACCCAAAATGTTATTAGTTGCTTTCAAGTCTACTCCAACATATGGGGACCACATGCATGCAGAGTATAGAGCATAACTGCTCCAAAGAGTGTTCACAGCTATGACCTTTCGGAAACAGACTGCCAGGCCTGTTTCCCAAGGTGTGTCTGAGTGGATTGAACAGCCAACATGTCAGCTGGTAGTATAGCACTTAACTGATTGTACCAACCAGGGACTCCTTCAATGCAAAACCTCCTACCCTCACCATTAAATCCTCATTGCACTTGTATTTTTTAAGTTTTATAATAGTTTCTTATAGTATAAATTTAAACTTATTAGCACAATTTTTTGTTCATATTATTCTCCCAGTTATTCTCAAGTATCCACTGACTATATATGAGCCAGGAGCTGTGCTCTAGACAGGTACAATGTTCCTGTCTTAAAAAATCATACAGTCTGGAATGAAAAAGGGACAAAATAAGAACAATTTATAGTAAAATGCTAAGAGCAGTAGCAAAACCACAACAAAAGTAAAATGTCCTGAGACAGCTTTTTCAGTATTTTTTACTTTTTTAGTTGTGCTTTGGATACAAATTTACAAAGCAGAATTTGTTTTATAGTCAACAGTCCATTTACTTTTGGTCTCACTCCCTGATTACCATTCCCAACCCTAACCCACTCTCTTTGTCTTCCTTCCCTGTGACCCCACCCCCTGCACCCTTCTTAGTTATGCACTCCTGTCTGTCCAGCTTACCCTCCATGTGAATGCTACCCCTCTGGTGCCCCATGGCCGATTGCTCCAAGTGGGTCTATCTCCGTAGAGTAGGTGGTACGTCACTCTGGGTCGGGTGTTCTGAATGAAAGTCTTACTACTGCTGGGCTGAGAGCCAGCCCCTGGGAGTCTCATCCCAGACCCAACGTGTATCCCAGGCCCATAGTCTTAGGGGTCCCACCAGACTCCATCTAAGCAGTAATTCTGGTCATTATTGTGTTTTTGAATTTTGTTCCATGTTTTTCTTCCCACTCTATCCAGGATGTCCAGTTTTGATCCCTTCCTAAGTGTTGACATTGGTAGCTGGGCACCATCTAGTTCTTCTGGTCTCAAGGTTCATCATATCCTTGGACTTAATGTTTTCAAATGCCCTTGATTTTCTTCACTCTTCTTCACTTCAGAAGAGAGACGAACAATAGCTACATCTTAGATAGTAGCTTGAAAGATTTTAAGACCCCAGTCACTACTCACCAAAATAGGTTGTGGAACAAAATTTTTATGTATTAAGTTGTGCCAACTGAGCCTGGTATCCCCCAATACTATGGTCCTGAGGTCAGCAGGCCTGGTGGTTCTCTCTCCCAAGGTGTTTGGCTGTCTCTGAGGGATTACTCCAACTCTTCTGTTGCTTCTGTAATGACTGTGGTTATTTTATATCACTAGTATCTATGCGGAGCTCTGGTAGCATAGTGCCTAAGGCACTTGACTGCTAGCCAGAAGGCTGGTGGTTCAAACCCACTAGGCACTCCTCCGATGGAATGCTGAGCAATCTACTTCCATACTGATACTGCCTTGGAAACCCAAGGAGGGGTCAACTATGAGTTGGGTCAGGTCCAACTCAACAGCACATAACAACAACAAACAATAGTATCTATGCAAGATTATCTTCAGCTAAATCTTGGGTACATTCCTGTTCACCAATCTTCATCTGATCTTCTCAGTTCTCTATGCATTTATCTGTAGCCTGGTGTTTAGTGTTAGTGGTAATGCAGTATTGTGCATATACTGGTATTAGCCTCTGTCATCTATATCTTATGTGCACAATTTGGTATCCTCCTTTCCCAAATGTTATCATGCTGGTCACAGACTCTTTCCATACCATCCCTCCCCTTATCCAACTCAGAGTGTGGCCCTCAAATAGTCCAAAATTTCCCCTCCATTTCCCTCCCATCCCCAGTAACCTACAAAGTGAGTTCCCTTCCCTAAGCAAATCCTTTCCTGACTATTTACAGTAATGGGCTCATATAATATTTGTCCTTCTGCAATTGACTTATTTCACTCAGATTCATCAGAGAAAATAACATGTAACTTGTTGGGCTAGCATCTAAAAAATTTCCTAAAGTGGTCACCACAAATATAAAATTTCTTTGAAATTTTAAATATTTGTACAAGTTTTATTGACACCTACATGAGTTATTTTAATATGGTTTAAACTACATAGCATCAAAATTAATTTACTTTTCCAAAAAAGACCTCGAGTAAAATTTGTGCTCCAGATATATAAACCATATTTTATTTTCTGAGTTTTGCCACTTCCTGGCACATGCAGTGTACCCCAGGCAGCAGAGAGTCAGAGAAGCTTCATGATGGAAGATCCTCTAATGCAGCATAGGGGCCACGCAATTCCCAATTTCCCAACTTCCCGTAACAGCAAACAAAATAGAAACACACACACACAACCAGCACACAGTAACTACTGTCTAGCAAGAAATGGCATGGCCTTTGCCTTAACTAGTAAAAAAAACTATGCCTTGAACATTATACTCTTTTAAGAGCTATCTATATGGGATCAAATTGACAACAGCGATTCGAAAGATTAGATAGGAACCTTAGGGGACAGTGAGTTTATGTCAATGAGGGAGGACTAACTCAGAAAATTAGGGTGATGATGGTTGCAGAACACAAAGAATGTCATCAATGCAACTAAATTGTACATGCACAAACTGTTGAACCGGTGTATGTTTTTCTGTGTATATATATTCTCAGCAACAACAAAATAAATAAAATTTAAAGAAAAAAGAAATGCAATGGCCAACTGAAATGCCACATTTACTAAACTGTCAGTTTCTAGAGGTCATTAATCATTTTGCAATGTATGCTTCTAATACCTGACACACTAGTTTTGTTTCCTGAATGAATTACTGTATACCTACAGATGAATTCCTGGAATAGCTTGCTAGGGAAGGCCATGGACTAGTTACACATAAATGCAGGCCAATGTGGCTGGGAGATTCAATTTGGCTAAAAACATTAAGGAACTACCGACTGTGTTCGCAATGGTTCACAATAGTCATTTGGTTGCCTACAGGGAGAAAAGATTGCAATTTTCAGTCTAATTCCTGACAAAATAATCCCAAAACTTCTACTAAGCCAGTTAAACCAAGAGATAAAGCCATGGGACAATCATCTTTAATGTTTATTTTTAAATATAGTAATTGCTTCCCCTGTGTCTGGCTTGTATGACTTCCCCTGTGTGGTGTGAAAGCCACACACCAGGGCTTTCAAACTGTTCATTCTAGTTCAACCCATTGCTGAGAATTTGTATTTCCACCCCAGATATACTGCATCAGAATCTACATTTTAACAAGATCCCCAGGTTATTCTTATAGATTCCCAGGTGATTCTTACAAGAATCTTATAAAAATTACTTATAAGAATCATCTGGGTATCTGTAAGAATCACCTACTGATCTATAAGAATCATCTGGGTGTCTGTAAGAATCACCTGGGGATCTATAATAATCACCTGAGGATCTTGTTAAAATGTAGATTCTGATTAAGTATATCTAGGGTGCAAATACAAATTCTCAGCAGAGGGTCAAACCCATGGAATGAACTGGTTGGAAGCCCTGACATACACCACTGTGGTTATGTATGTACAATATCCTACTTCCAAAAGCATCTTTCCTCAAGTTAGTATGTTATAGTATACCACATCATATTTACATTTACAATTTACTTATAATACGTATAACATGAAATATGCTAAGAAATACTTCTCTGAATGTCCAAGTATCAGTATACAGTTTCCAATCTATTGATAGTATTTGACTGCTAACCAGAAGGTTGGCAGTTCAAACCCATCAGCGGCTCTGCAGAAGGACAATGGGAGCAATCTACTTCCCTAAAGATTTACTGCCTTAGAAAATCAATGGGGAGGTCACTATGAGTCGGAATCTACTCAATGGCAGTGAGTTTGTTTTTTTTTGCTTTTTAGTTATATAGTTTCAAATGGAAGTTTCCCTCCTCAAGTTTCAGGTAAAGACTCACAGTATGTGATGATAATATCAAAATTCAGGTAATGGTATGGACATACATATCCCAAAAC